GAGATTTTGTCAGACTGAGATATTAAATGGCGGCACAAAAAGCAAAATGTTAAGATGTATCTCTACCAAGGGAGACGAGTAATGAATCAACTCCTACCTGAAGGCAAACGATGTACAATATTGGAAGTCTCATCAGAGCTTTAAAATACAGATTCAACTCTGAAAGGACAACCAATGCTGTGTGTTATCTACTTGTGAGAATGGGCTCCTGGACTGCCAGAGAAATGCAAGGGATGACCAGGCATCAAAACCTTCTACAAAATCCTGAAGTTAGAGTGAGCAGTTAATCCAGTATTTAGTTTGTAAATCTGATTCCAATACTTTAAACCTACAATAAGCAGACTTAAAGAAAGCAAACAGACAGTTTTCTTTCATACTGAATTTAGAGAGACTGTTTTGGTTGGATCTTATTTACCTGCACTAGTTCAACCAACCATACAAACAATGTTTGATTTTTTTTTTCACATCTTTCTTATGGAAGGTGGAAAATACTTAATTTATAGCACATTAATCTAGTTAGCTTTTGTTAAGTCATGGTAGGTAGTTCACTATTCACCTGTGGGATCTGCCAGGTCATGTTAGCCTAGCCCTACGGTGTCAGTTGAATTAGGATAAGCCTGTGCAATTGCAGCAGTGCCATGTAATGTGACCAAGCTTAGCCCACAATGACAAAAGGTTAAACTAAATCAGGTTACTTTGGATTAGGCTCAAGCTAAAGGCATGCACTTGGTCTGTTACCACAGCCCGCCGTCTCACAGTCACTTGTTGATGAAATAGCTTGAGTTTGAGCCTGAGCCCCACGGCTCTATAGCTACAAACAAAACCATTTCCAGGTGGAACGGGACGGTGCCAGGTCTGCTCTGGGAATTGTCAGGGGGCTCCGGGCTGCAATACAGAGAGCTGTCATGCTGCTTGTCCTCACGGCCTGGTTCAGACACACCATGCATCTATTATCCACGTGACTGATAGCACAGTCAACAAATGTAGCACATTCAAGATTCTATTAGAAGAGTCTTACTGATCCACCTTCTAACACAGAAAACTGAGTTTTCAAGAGAAAGATGAATAAAGCAGAGGGGCTTATTTTGGTGAATTAAAATATGCCAGCAATGCCAGCAAATGGAGTGGGTAGGCCACTCTGAGGGAGGAGTGGGAAACAAGAGAGAATTAATTTGTTTGAGAAATGAGATGCTTAACTAGAGAACGTTTTCATACTAGACTTGAATCATTTCTGTTAGGAGGTCAGGATAACCAAGACTTTCAGCTACTTAGGGACAGAAAGCTGCTAGAACCCCCAAAATGACGGTCACACCCTCACTGGGGTTGTACCAGTTAGAACAGGACAACTTAAAACTTTCTCTGTTTTGGGCCCCACAACATTTCTTCCCGAAAGATGAGTCAGTGGCAGAAACTGCTGCCAGCATTGTTGTTTCTGCACTCCATGGGACTCCCGTCAAAATATTTAGATTAGGGAGTATCACGAGCATAGGGAAAATTCTCCCATTTCTTTGCAAGTAGTCAGGGAGGTGTAGTTAACCCATACAAAGAAGTGTGAGGTGAAATAGAAGTGATCCTCCAAATTAAGATGTTCTTTTCTCCTCCTTATGTGTCAGTTACACATGAAACAAAAGAAGGAGGGAGAAGATTATGTCAGAAAATGACATTTCTGATAGATCCTTCAGGAAGTCCCCTAAATCCATAAGCCCCTACATTACAGTGAGGAACTGCACTGGCAATGATCTCCTGTACACTCTTCAAAAGACAGGGAAGGGACTCCGACAGCTCAGACACAAAGTGAGGTTGGACCTGCAACCTGCTCTGCCTCCTGCATAGTTAAGGAGAGCTCTACACTTTATGCCCTACTGACACAGATTCCTCTCAGAGGAGTCTCCACTCTCAGCTTTTCCTCCAACGACTCTTTGTGCATTTGCAACTAAAGACAAATGCATCAAAGTCATTGACTCCTTTAGGAGTTCACAGATTCCCCCTTCTACACTGAACCTGGATCTCTGAGTCATCATCAGATCCAGGTCCATACATTTGGGGACTACTAGCTGTTGAAGACAAGCTATCTGATTCCAGCCCATTGGCTCCACACATCCACAGCACACCAGTTACTACATACATAGGATGCAAGATTATAAAAGTGCTGCCTAGCCAGGAACTGAGCAGGCAAACAGCAGCAGAAGCTGCTGGGAAAAGAAAGACATGTCATGGTTCTTGGCTAGTTATGGGATGGAGGGCAATCAGAAACAGCAACAGGAGGGGCTGGAGTGCATGGAGGCTCCTGTTATTGGAGTTTTTAGCTCTTTGAAATATCTTGGCTTAGCTCCTTTGGATAGATAGGGATCATAGGATAAGTCTCAGGTATGCCTGCATCCATTGAAAAATATAATAAAAAGCATTCTTGAGATCTGTGGAGGGGGAAAAAAAAAGTAGTTGTACTGTTTACAGCAACATAAAGTTTTATTTTGGCAGTTTTCACGGCTGTAAAACACAGTGTAACACACATTGTAAAAGTGTATTGTAAAGAGTAATAATGTTCATTTAAAATCTGGTGGGCTTCTCTATACCTTTAGTTCTTCCCACTTCCTCTGCAGGATGTGCCAAGTCTGAAGTAGACATAAGCAGCGCTAGTTGATATCAAAGACACCACTATTTATTAAGTAATATGTTGAAATCGAAGATTTTAAGCTTTCATCTGCTTGATTCAAGCTCTTGCAACTTCCTTAAACTTTACAGTAGCATTTTTAATTATAGTTAAAGAAACAAATATAAGTGTATTGATGCACACAGATATGGCTCTGTTATCATTTGGGAGTCACCTTTCCTGCACTGTTAGACACTGTTTCCTCCATGCCAGGACTGTCTCTTGGTCATGTATCTAGCATCAATGTCTATTAGGGCATGGCAATCTACTGGAGTGAGGCTCAGGGCTTGCTAGACCCACATGAGTATGATGGCTATGATGAACCAACCTTGTCATACCACCACTACTGAGGAGGACGTGATACCCTGTGAGAAACGTGGGCAGCTGTAGGCAAAGCCACAGGCGGCAGCAGAGTACAGTTAAATGGGGGAAGGAGAGCATGAGGGAGTTAATTTTGTCAGCCAGTGCTCTGGTGTAGTGGATGGCCACTGGTGGATGGTCAACACACCAGTGCTCTGGTGTGGTGGATATCTTGTGCAGGAGGGGAGGTGGTTCAATGATTCTTGCATGTACCCAAGGTGGAAAGGCAGGCATTTTACCAGGTACTTAGAGAAGGACAAATTCTGCAGGGCTCTTAGTGCGTGGGATCTCTTTGCAGCCGTGCACATAGCACTCCTCTGGCAGGGCTGTTTGTGTCCCGATGGTTACACATAAAGTACCTGACAAATGTTATTTTCAACCAGACGCCAGGAAAAGCACGTGGAAATGATGCAACTGCCGGGACAGAAAGCTGAAGCTGGAGAGCCTCGCTAGGGCACGTGATGTTGATGGCACACTCTGTCCTGCCAAGCACTCAACCCCTTGCCTCCCAAGGAGCAGGCAGTGCCCTCACCCCTGTCCTGCTGGACATCCAACAAACCAGCCGAGACTCTCACACAGAGTGGTGCCTGGGTTGCAATGGTCACACTGGAGATAGCACAGGCCAAGTGGCTCACCAGGGCTGGTGTCAGGGGGCTCCCATGGCAGCGGGGCCAGACTTCTCCATCAGGGCCTGTGCCACACAAGGCACCACTGGGCTGCAGCTGGGGAATCCCCAGATCCGGCATTGGACACCTCCATGGGGACTGGGATGAGCAGAGAACAGGCAAGGCTGTGGTGGGGCTGGAGGTGACTGCTGAGGCATCATGAGACAAAGACTGACACCTGATGTAGCCTGGGGATGGCACCAGGAGTGGAGAGGGCCTGGGATAAGGCAGGGACAGGGAGGTCTCTTCCCATTTCCAGTCAAAACCCTTCCAGTTTTGGGCAATTTGGATCCATTTCTGTTCATGATGGAATACACAACTTTTCTTGCTTACTATTTATAAAGAGAAAACCTACTCCCTCTTGGCTAGCATCTTAACAAGCCAGGCCGTCAACATCTCCTCTCATGAAATATGCCCTTGACTCTTGAATGCTGAAGACTAGAACTGTCTCATCTGGTATTTAGATGAGATCCTGCCACAGCATTGTTTCTTCCAGGTGCTAATACCTCCCTGTCATTGCTAGAATTAGCACGGTACTTTGGACTGTCTTTGCCTTCTTTGAGTCCCTCCTGCACTGATGGTTCAGGCTGTGACTACTGAATGTGCTCTGATACTTGCTCTCTTCTCTAATTTCCACCTCTGAAACTCCAGGTTTCAGAAGAGAGCCTTACTAAGAGCCTTTAAAACTGATGACCTTGAACTTTCTTGTGTGAAAATGAGAAAATCAGAAGTGGAACTGAGTAGTGTTGCATTGCTCTTCTGGATTAGTGAAACAACATCACTTGAAAGAGCAGCTTTGATGTTCCTAATGAAATCTTCAGATAGTGTGAGGGAAAACTGCCAAAAAATGGCTTTACCCTGGCTAAGAACCTGTCCTTGCAGAAAACAGATAACCCTTTCTCCTTAGTTCTCAGCAATTAAGTGGAGATTAAAAAAAAAAAAAAAAAAAAAAAGAGATGTGCATTAGTGTTCTCCTAAAGAAATTAATGTTGAAGCTCTGTCGCCTTAATCTGTTGGGTATTTCCTTTACCTGTTTTTCTCTTGAACTGTGGCAACCAGAATAAGTTGATAAAAACTTGTGTTTCTTACAGCAGCTCCCTTCCCTTTCTAACAGCAGCTCCCTTCCCTTTCTTACCAACAGATAAAGCAGTTACATCTCTGTGATAGAAAGGATTTAGTTCATTAAATTTATATGTAGATGGCGAAGGTTTTTCTAGGGAGTGCTCATCAGAGTAATCAAAAGAGCACAGAACAGCTGAATTTCTTTCATTTTCCAAATTTTAATTGTCACAATCTCCTTTTGCAGGAAACCACACACACACAAAATGGCTACAACAGCAGCAAATACTCAAAGAACAACGATCGGCTGTGAGGAATACAGTCTCTACAGCAGTCTGAGTGAGGATGACCTTATAAAAATGGCCATACAGCAGAGCCTAGGGGAGGATCCTGTGGGGCAGTTGGCTGCCCAGACTCACCAGAAGTCGATCGTGGCTGGTCCCAGCGAGCCAGCCGCCCCCAGCCACACCAGCAGCCACAACCCACCCTACCAGATATACCCCTGGCAAAGGTGAGTGAGCCTGGGAAGGGACAGTCAGCATCCCCAGCCAAAACACACACTACTCTCTGTCTAGTAATACCAAGTAGCTTCAGATTGCTCATCATTGCTTTGAAAGTCTAGTATACATGCAATGAAGTCAGTGATTTGCACCCTCACAGTGAAATAAAAGCCTGTGCAAAGTTGTTGTCCCTGTTAAGGAAAAAGAAAATAAGAAACAGGGCAATCATACAAGCTTTCTTGATCTAAAGAAGCCCTGTTGAAGTGAGCTCTGTTCTCCCATGGGGACACATTGCACTCCTAGCTTGGGCTAAATCAGAGAGAGAGTACAGGATTTCTTATGGGAAAATATGAGAGGCCAAAAATGGCATATAAAACCATGTGAACTGACTACCTTCTAGATATCGCCAACACTAAAAGATGTAGTTATTTCAGATCAGAGTACAATCTCAAGAACACTTACTCTCAGCCAAGAGTAGCTGCAGATACCAAAGCATGGAGGCATCCACCTCGCCTGCAATGTTGTGCTCAGGCTGCAGCTTACAGAAAGCTGCTGACAGTTTCAAAACCAAGCTTTTAAGTTCTCCTTTCATTTTTAAAAGGCTGAATTCTCAAGGGGGATGGGGGTTTGAAAGACAAGACTAAAAAACTCTTTCAACCTTCTCATGTTTTGTAACAATACGGGAGTAACTGAAGTTTGGTTCTACCTTCCCTCTCATAACTCCACTGCCCTCACTGCCTCCCTACCTGCACTACCTGCAAATGTTTGATTCCCGAGGTTGAGAGACTTGGAGAAGTTTGATGAGCAGCAATGATGTTTCATAGTTACAGGATAAAAGATGCTTTGCAGAATGCAATCTTGCTCTAACTAAAGGCTTCTCAGTGTAACTACTGCACATCTGCGTGGTCAGCTCTGTTGATCTGATGTGCAGGAGTGAGGGCTACCCTGGCTGTTTGGTCTGTCTTCCTTGGGGGTCCTTTGATACCTACCATTTTAGCAAAAGACTGCATCTGTTCTTCTGTCCATTAACCTGTCCTGTCTCTGCCTCAGCCGAGCAGCTTTTGACTTCCCACTCAAGGAGAAGTGTTCACAGAGTTTGTAGCCTCGTTGCTGGACATTTCTGCTCAAAATGGAGCTCGCACCTAGGGCTCTCCACCCCCTCCTCTGACCTGCTTGCGTAACACTTGAGGAGGTGATGAATGTCACCTTGCCTCCTGCCTGCTTCCTGTGCGGTGGTGGCAGGGTTAACCTCACTGTTGTCTTATATGGTCATTTGAATCCCCTGACACTTCCTCAGAGGGCCAAAAATAATCTCCAGCTGAGAGAGCAGCTGAATCCAGTGCAGAGCAAGCTGTGGCCATCTGCTTTCATTCAAAGCCCCGACCGGCAGGCTTTCGCTCTCCCTCTCAGTGGGTGTGTGTCTCTGTTTCTGCCTCAACATGACCTGTTTCTCCTATTCGGAGTATTTCTCTTTATTTCATTCATGTCATCGCCACTCCAGATTAGCGGCCCAGGCGAGAGGCCGTGCTCAGTCTTCCAGCTCGGGGGCAGCCTGGGGGCTCCGGCGAAGGTACGACGGCAGCCCGTTCAGCACGCCTCAGCCCGTGTAAGTGCCTCGTTTTCCCCCTTTCTCCCCAGGAAGCCTTGCTGCCCCCTGCCCTCCCAGTCAGCTCTTCTGGGCAGTGACAGTGTCGGGGCGGGGGGAGGGAATTGGTGCCATTTCATGAAATCCCTCAGATTTCGTGAACTTAGATATATGCACGGTGCCCTCTTTGCCCTCCTTTTCCTTCCTCCAGCCTCCCGCCTGCCCCAGACCATCACACTGTCTCTTGTGAGCAACCCCACATCCAAGCCTTCCTTGACCTCCTCTCCCCTTTCATCCCTCTCCACCCTTCCAGTGCACATGTCCTGGGCGCTCTGGGTCACTCAGTAGCTCTGAGGTGACAGGGGAGAGCAGGGAAGGAATTGCTGTGTTGTGGTTTATTTATACGGGCTGGCTCACACATATGGTGCACGAGGCAGATGGGTGCTGTTTGTACTGCGCTGGTATTAAGTTCATAGTTCAGTGGTGGGGGATGGTGGGGAAAACAAGTATATAAACAGGGTGAGAAAGTCTAGTCTTTCAAAGTAATGTTTTATAAATGCTTCCAAGACAGTGTGGCTGCTTCTTGGCACGGCAGTACCTGCTCTGTTCTGACATTGATAAGGACTGCTGTGAAGCCCACTATCTCACCCACCCAAGGGGGAGCCACCAGGACAGAGTTTGACCCTTCTGGCCCAGTTTTGCCATTGGCAGAGACCATAAATAGACATGGTTAAGTATAGTCATGATTGAGGAAAACAAACAGGTGAGGATGTGGACCAAGCACTGCCCTTCCATAGTGGAAGTGCCTGGACCATGATGGGTTTATTAGAGCTCTCTGACAGGCAGAGTAGATGTTGGTACCTCTTTTTAGGAATGAGATGAGGGGTAAAAAGTATGACAGGTAGATCTTCTGTGTGCCTTGCAGAAAACTTTACCCCTTTTTTGTCTTCTGGTTCAAACCCTCTTTGTTTTCTCCATCTTACAAATCCCTCCCCAGATGCACTGTTGTACAGCTACCACATCCGCACTCTTTTTCCTTTCACCTCTCTCACCTCTCTCTATCTGCTCCCCTATCTCACCCAGCACCCTGTGTGATCTTGATTCTGCCTTTCATGGTCTGCTGACATTGCCCTCACTGACATATGTAAAAACTTCCTTCTGCTGAAATGTCGGGACTCACTTAACTCCATCACATGTCAGCTCTTCAAGGCCCCACTGAAATCACACACTATCATTATGAGATACGTGCTTCTTTCATCTCCCCTGTTGAAACTGCAGTGACTGAAAAGCAGGCTTTTTCTTCTGCATCATATAGCTCAGTAGAGTTCAGTTCACAACAAGGGCCACAATAATGGGCCACAAAATGAACTTTCCTCTGCTGTCAGGTGAGAGCAGAAGAGTGGCAGGGAAGTTGCAGGGGAACATGATGGCACAGCTGTTTTCCAGCCCTGCTCTCAGAGCAAGGCCGGAGGTGAGAGCTGACTTCGGTCAGGGAGATGTTACTTCATGCTGTCAGCATCCCACTAGGTTGCCAGGAAAGGAAGGTGCTTCCTCAACCCTTCTCCCTCTGTGCCTGTTCTGCAACACTTAGAATTGACCCCACCATGCACCTCTTTTGCCATGAGTATTTATGAGTCTGGCTACTGGCCTTTGAAATGCATAACTCTTTTGATGAGTCTATAAAGTTAAGATTTCATCAGAACTTCAGAATTCCTTCTTAGTCCTAATACTGTTTTTTTTTTATTTCAATTAAAATCCAAACAGCAGAATGTGTTCATATACATATGTGTATGTGTGTGTGTGTGTGTGTGTGTATACACATACATATATAGACAACTGTGAGACAAGGAAAAAAAGATTTCACATGGAGACTCATTAAACCTTCTGTGCTTCTCTGGAATTTACTTGGCTAAAGCATCTACAGCCGAGTCCAGCAAACTCCTTGTCTTCCTCAGGAATCATTTAAGGTCAAGGGGCCTAACAGAAGTTTACTTCATTCAACATCTGAAGGCTGAAGCAGACCACTAACTGATTCTGCACACATTTTTAACCTTACCACAGAGAAGCGGTATCGTCTGTTTTCACTGGGTCTCACTTAATGTGATTTACTTTGCATTTGCTGTTTGCCAACAAAATGCAAGCAGACTCCTGTCGTATCCCACCTGGCATGCAGTAACTCATTAAACTCCAGTAACTGTATCGTGTGCCCAAGTCTGGGTCGCAGTAAGCAGCCCTGTGTATGTAACATGAAACTTTGCACAGCACAACAGATGGTTTCAGCAGGCATGTGCCAGGGGCTTTTAAAGATGAAGATCCCCCACCTCCTTCCCTTCTCCCAGCCAGATATACCAATTGTTGCTATTAACTGACTTGAACAAAATACTGAATTTTAAGTGCCTATAGTCCTTTAGGTACCCTAAATAGTATGGGGATACATTGGGGTCCCTGGGATCTCAGTCCTGAGTTATCAGGTCAGTTGATTCCTTCTGGCTGCGAGGTGGCAGGAGGTGGCAGGAAGGCAGCTGCCTGCTCTAGCTGTTATCTCCTCAGGAAAATTGCCTAGCTGTGTCCCCTATCTCCCTCCATTCTAGTGTTGCTATTTTTGTGACTGCTGTCTTGGGATCTCTGCTTTCAGCTACAGAGAAGAAAGGGCAAGTGGCACTAAGTTTTCACCTGGGAAATTCTGTTTTTTCCTATTTATTGGCCAACCCATTTTGTTCAGGGCTTCCACTGCAAGCCCTGAGTTTGTCCTCAGAGACACAGCATGATGACTTTTCTTTCAGAGCAAATATCAGCATTTATGGCCCCAGACTGCCTTGAAAAACCTCTAGGCAAGCTGAAGTTAATGACTGATGTGACAGTTTCAGACCAATGGAGGTCTGCAGTGTTCCCAGAGGAGGTTCCCTCAGCGTCAGCCACATGCTGCACTTCCAGTCTTCGTGTCCTTCTGCCACCTGCAATCTCCAGCATAATGACAGAATCCCGTGCTGTTCCAGTAGCCTGTGCTAAATGCAGTTGTCTTACCAGTGAGCTGCTTTTGGGGTACCCCGCTGCTGACCTGTCCACGTTTTTGTGTGTCAAGTCTCACTCTATTGTAGTATTTTAGACCTTCTGTTATATCCAGAGTTTCTAGCTGTTCTCATTCTCACTTTTGTGGCTTTAGTCTCATGTCTGCCCTGTCTCCCTCTGAGACATTTCTCTCCTTCCACTTCCTTCCCTTCCCAGTCTCCCTACCTCAAAACTGCAAGGCTATCTCTTCAGACCTAGTTCAGCCACAGACTCTCCTATGTTTTAAACATCCTTGTGTCCTCTGTCTCTAAAAATACACCCCACCTTAATCAGAGGTTTGCTGGGCTCAAATGGATGATCAGTGGGTAGCATGAACCACTCAGCAGCATGGCACCGGATTCGAGCTGTGGTTCCAGGGACCCCATACTCATATAGTCACTTGGGACACTGGTAACTTGGTTACAAGTGGACTTGTCAAAAAAGCTAATGGGCCAGATTATAAGCAGATATCTACAAAAAAAAATAAGATTCTCAAGTTTCCGGTACCTAGCAGGTCTTGTTTTAATACTGGACACCTTTTCAAAGGTCTATAATGTCCAAAACAGTTATCATTTCAGAAAAACTGGCTGCTTAATACTGACATAATAGCTGGGGATGTATAGGGTATAGTCATTAACAACAGCTCAGAATTTAATTTCAGAGAATAGATTTTATTTTTTTCTCCGAAAAAAAAAACAAAACAGAGAGAGCCCAGACCAACACTAGAAGGTCTACAAGGTCCAAATAGAGTTCTCCTTTCTTGATAGCTAGTTTACCTAACTTCTCATAAAAGAAATGGGAAGTATCTCTAAAATATCAGAACAAGATTTTTTTTTTTCAGAATTTCTGCTTTAATACTCAACCACCTGCAAATTGCAGCTAACAATTCTGAAACGGGGCTAGCCTTATCTATGCTGATCTTGTTTATGGGCTTTCAGCTGGAAGCACCTTACTGCATTTAACAGCAAATGACAAGGTGATATAATTGTCACAACCATGGACCCTCGCAGAGCAAGGCTGGTACTAGTCTCACCCATCCTTACCTTTCTAAAACGTAAATGTTTCTGTCATTGATAGTCATGCCTACAATTTCTTTGTGCTTAGTGGAGAAAGGTCTACATCTCTAGAGATTGCTTCTTCTCATCTGTTGCGACCAGCTAAATTAAGACAGATGATAGATTTTACCTCTAGTGATGACTATAGCTAGATGCCCTAGAGCCACAAAAAACTGTCATGTAGATTCATTGTTCTTTATTTAATGATACTGTGCTGTTGCTGGAAAAAGCTCCTCCGTAATGAATGAAGCAGTAATCAATTTTCAACCTTGCCTTAAAGAAAACTTGACCCCTTGGTGGCAGCAATCAGAGATGGAGATGAAAAAGCAGTATGCGACATGATGAAATCAGGAAAAGACCTTTCTGCACCTAATAAGGATGGCTGGATACCCCTCCATGAAGCTGCATACTATGGCCAAGTGGGTGTCCTGAGCCTGTTGCAAAAAGGTTAGTAAAATTAAAATTAATTGATTACAGAATGGATAAGAACAGTTTGAATAGACTGAAAAGCGGAATTAACACCAGCCCAGCTTCTGTCTGTGTCCTTGTGTGAAGTTCTTTTTCCAGCTTCTGTATTTGTACATTGATTTCACCCTTTCTCTGAAGACACATTTGCAGATTGAAGCCTGTAAAAGTTAGGATATTGAAAATGAAGTGCTATCCGTATGAAGCTACACAGATCATGCCAAGTCCTGGATTTCTTACACTAGAGGCTTGCAGTTGGACCTTCAGCTATTGTTAACTGGTAGGGTGCCACAGCAGGCAGCAGAATTACCTGAGGCTGAAGATCCAGCTAGTGCCTGAAGCGAGTAAACTATCATAATCTGCTTTGAACTGCTAGCGAAGAGCATTTACTCAGCAGCTTTTTGCATTGTTAGTAGCGATAGATAAACATTAAAATCTGAGCCAGTGGCTAGTGTGATTTAGAAAAAAACCATATTATAAATTCACTTTGTGTGATTTTAAGGAAAGTTTACTTATTTTTCCTTCTAAAAAGGAAAAGAAAAGATGAAATAAACAACAAAAGCTCACCCAAAACCCTAAGGATCAAGGAAGCTGATTGCACTTCAAATATTGCATGCTGCACAGCGCAGTGACTGTGGCTGATGTTTTTTTGACAGCTTACCCTGGTACAATTGACCAGCGCACTCTCAATGAGGAGACAGCTCTGTACCTGGCCACAAGCCGGGGCAACATGGACTGTCTGCTCACGCTGCTGCAGGCTGGAGCAGAGCCTGACATCTCCAACAAGGCCAGAGAAACACCACTCTACAAAGGTGAGAAATGAAGTTCCCAGAGATGCTGAGCTCTGCTGGGGCCACCAGAGGAGAGATGTTGGCACACAGAGAATTAGCCACACATAGAGCTCCTCAGAGGTGGTAGGCACGTTAAGTCTTGCATGCAAAGATTCAAATCCAGAAGTTAGCTCCCATTTCATACAGGTAGACATGTAACTCCTGCATCTGATTGCTGGCCCAGCCTCTCTTTTATTTGCCTTCTCACCAGGGACAGATGGTGCTTGCCACAGGGCTGCAGGCTGTAATGTAAGGCTGAGAGTGAGGAGTGGGATGTGTGAGGAGTCCTCAGCACAGTGTGTCCTGTGGGTATCTACACAGTGTCTCAAGCACTGGGAAAGCAGAAAGCTGGTCAGTACAAGAATATATATTTTTAAACGGTAGGTCCGAAACAACTGTTAGATGGGTATAGAGTCACCATCCCTGGCAGTGTTCAAGAAACATGTAGATGAGGCACTTAGGGACATGGTTTAGCAGGTATGGTGTTGAAGGGCTTGTGGTTGGACTCCATGATCTTGAAGGTCTTTTCCAACTGTAATGATTCTGTGATTCTGTGGGTGAGTACCGTAAGTGTAGACATGTTTGTCATTCATGTACTGAGTGGCACAGGTCAGGCTAGGTGCTATGGCCAATGCATAATACTATAAAGAATTCAGTGAGGTATTGTATTTAACATGCGTCTATTACATTGCTGCTGTATCACATAGTACCTGAAGGGTTCAGAGAAAGCAACAATCCCTCACACCTTTATGTCCACCTCCCTTGGACTGACTGCTCCCCACATGGCAGTTATTAGTGCTCTAACTTTATAATAAAAAAGCACAGTATTGGCTTACACAGTAATCTTTCCATAAGCTTTGGATGCCTGGAATTATAGATACTCAGTTTAATATGACTGATTTTAAAATGTCCAGTTTATTGTCTGCTACTAGAATTTTGTTCCACCGTAAACTAAACACACAATAGCAGTGTTCTTCATAAATATAAATATATTTATATTTATAATAAAATAATAATTTAAAAAATATGAAAGCGCCCTTTAGAGAAAACTTCCTAAGAATGTGCTGTTCTTGATACAAAATTTTATGGTCCATTCTCAAATAAAGGAAGAGTGAAAAAGTGATGATGATAAATTAGCCATCCTTTGTACGTAAGCAAATTGAACTCTGCAGAGCTGCTCTGATTACAGCAGTGTCTAGTCAGATAATTTGTCTCAGAACATGCTAGTGACACTCATGCATAGCAGAGGAAGCCATGGGGATGTCTCAAACGAAGAACCAGTGCTGAAAGGCAGCACTTCTATGGGAAAAGGACTAAAAGGATTATTATTAGAGAGAAAAAAAAATATATATATATAATTGTTACAGACTGTGCTGGCCTTTCTGACTGTGCAGTGTACAGCATATGCTAATTGGCAGTTCTAAAAGTGACTATTGTAAAAATGATCTGTTCTAGAGGCTTCTGATTTGGGGTGCTACAGTAAAAGTGTGTAGACAGTCTCATGAGTAAGGATGCTGAAAGCAGTGGAACAAATTAATAGTATTAAAAAAATATATATATAAAGAAGACACCTCTAGTTTAGAGTGGTCCTGAGTTGTGAATTGTGGCAGGCTGGGAGAGTGCTACACTCACCCCATTCTTACATTGTAAGGATTCTTTGCTGGTCACTGTTTGTTCTTTTTGTATTTTCATGACTACACAGCTTTATCTGGGGTTCAAGGCAGTAAGATACAGGGTATCTTGCATAGAATTAGGACAGAGTCTTTAGGTCCTATGGCTTCTGTAACATACTAATTCTTCATGAATATCACGTGCACTTCATCACCTCCCTGTGTCACAGTGATACCTAGTTAGTTCAGAGGTGCTGGGCTGCATCCCTCACTTACCAGGTGTGGTTCAAGTGCAGTGCATGACAATTAGCTTCTCACAGGTCCCACACAGCTGGTTTTTTTGCTGCACCCTTTGCCAGACCTTGACCTTGTCATTTGACTGCAGTCTTAGTTCTTATATTGAACTAGATGGATTTCTAGCTTGACTGAGTATGGCCAAGTTTTATTTTTCGCTTAATGCTACATGTGGTGGATAGTCAGAACACTTAGAATCTGTTCAAAACCTGTCCTGTATCTGTTCCCTTTTTCTCAAATCAGCCTGTGAACGCAAGAATGCTGAGGCCGCAAGACTGCTAGTGCAGTACAATGCTGATACCAACCATCGTTGTAACAGAGGATGGACTGCTCTTCATGAGGCTGTTTCCCGAAATGACCTGGAGATTATTGATATTCTTGTGAAAGGAGGTGCCAAGATTGAGTCTACAAATGCTTATGGAATCACTTCTTTATTTGTGGCAGCTGAGAGTGGGCAGTTGGATGCTTTGAGATACCTGGCAAAATGTGGTGAGTACTGTCATGAGATCGGCATGCCTTTACTCAATTCATCCTTAATACTTCAAAGTGTCTCTTAATTCTCCATGCCATTTCTAAGTTCAATTCTCCATGCCATGCCTAAGTTCAGTCTCTGGAGACAAGGCCAGAAGAGGTGCTCCAGAAGGCTAGATTACATATGGTCTTTGAGAGAGCATGAACTAGACAAGTTTCATCATCATCCTAATGGATGATGATCACTTTGTGAAGAAGTTTGGTGCTCTTTAATTGTATTGACTAGTAGCTTCCAAAACCTATAAGACTGCCCATGTGTAGCTTAACACCCAGTTGGTTATAAAAGAAGTTGTATGCTATAATACATCACAGAAGTTGAGCATTAGCCAACCCCATTTGCTCGTGAACATGTGCAATGATGGGCAAGGTTAGTTTTCCTCATCTCCTGGTGAGGAGGTCATTAACAGTTTTATACCAAAGAGAAGCAGACTCGCTCTTCCTCATGTGTATGTTCAAACATATAAGCAGAGTGAAATTGATTCTAGTTTATACCAAACTTAACTTATACTGCTCCAGCCATATAAACCAACCTTAAAATAAGCACAATATACTTAACTACCATTGCGAGGCAATTGTTTGTTCTCAGTGTGGCATAATATCTTCAATGTGAGAATCAGGCTGTGTTTCAATTGTGTTTCAATTTAGAACTATATTATGATAATAATGTAATATATTATGATATTATTTCCTTAAGGAAATCATAATATGGATCTAAATTGAAACACAAAAAGTGTTTCAAGCTTCAATTCTGAGAAAATACACAAGAGAAAATCCAATAAAAGTGTCCAAATGTTTCAAGCCCTCAAAGGCTCCTCTAGGAATGTAGGGAATTATATCATTGCATTGTTTATAATGAGCAATGTTCATCATAAAAAAAGGTTTCTTTTTCATTTCTTTTTCATTAAGAACGTAGTCCTGTGTTATGTTTTGTCACTGCAGTTCTCCTGATGTCTCTAACTACAATATCTTCAAAGGGCCAAACACAACACAGATGTTTCAGTTTGGGGTGATAGCCCAGGGAAATGTTCTCCTTGGCAGGGAGTTTTTATGATCAAACAGGAGACTGATTGGTCCTTTTATTGGCGTTAGAAGCAAAACGCCAGTAAACTGTCATTTCCACTTAGGATACATTTAGAGCAGCCTTCTTGAAGACAGAATGGTGTAATATATTACAGTCGAAAATTAGACTTTCAAGTTTTAAATTTCTAGCGCAAAATAGATCTAGAATTCAGATTCAAAAATGTTCATGGACAAAAAAAAATAGGGTTTGGTTTATTCTTACTGATTATTTATTAAGCCATATACCCACTAGAGCTCACAAGAAATACCACAAATAATCCAGTAGCTCCTTAACAATATTTGTCCTTTTTTTCAATAAAACTTAATATTTGGCACTTAATTGGAAACCTGATGAAATCAAGACATGGGGCCTTAGATCCTAAGTTTTGAAATTAAATATTCATTGAATAATGCTTACTTGAATAAAAGGAACTTTTAGATACTTAATTCTTTGCTTTGTATGATGAGAATGTCTTACTACAGAAACCTATTTTAGGCTGACTATGCACTATAATTAAAATATAGTATAAGTAGTATAAATGTACTTACAGTATAAATATATGTAGTATAAATAGCATGTATAAACATGAAGCTTGCATATAAATATATAAAGTATTATTAATATAAAAAATACATATAGAATAATATCCTTTGTAGGGCTCTTACTGAAATCATCTAGTCCCACCTCCTGCTGCAAAATACTGTATACACACACAGTAAATATATAAATATTAATGAGATTATTATGGCTAAAGCAAAGGCTGTGGTATATAAAGAATTATCCTTTAACATATTTTAAAATGTTTGCCTGTGGGACATAGTTGGATGGAGCCAGGGTTCATAACTGTGAGCTAACCGTTGATGCTCACTGTGTGTTTTGCCCTGTGGGCACCTCCACTTTCCAGAAGGGCAATGTCACTTTATCACAGTTTTCCCCCGACAGACTGAGTAAAGAGAATAATTGCCCCAATAAACTTTCCCTCATAAAATTCACATTGTAATAAAAATCAGTGGAGACCGAAAGCATAACTGTATTCATTTTTTATTTTGATGGGATATGACCTCATTCACGTTCCCTTCTGGCACATTTTGTAGCTCCAGTGTCATGCAGACTTATGCTGTTCGCTCAAAATATGTTACTTTTGTTGGTTTTTAATTCTTTAGTGCTACAAAGATTTCCTTTCTTCCTAGGTGCTGATATAAATACTCAAGCCTGTGATAAAGCCTCTGCTCTTTATGAAGCCTGTAAAAATGGACATAGACATATTGTGGAGTTTCTCTTGTCCCAAGGAGCAGATGCCAACAAAGCCAATAAAGATGGCCTGTTACCTCTTCACATAGCAGCCAAAAAAGGCATTTGCGAGTAAGTTGGGGTTCATTTCACAGTTTCATCTTTTAAACAAGAAGATTTACAAAATAAGAGAGTATAAGGTCCCCTATATAATACTGAGCATTTTAGAGCTTGTGTTTGAAATCCTAAACTGAACTCACTGTGTTTGTGGGATGGGGATAGGACAAGACAGGATGGGATAGGATGGGATGCAACAGAATGGAATGAGTAAGGTGGAGCACAGCAGTGGAGTGGGCTGAAAGATCTTTTTAACTTTACCAAAATATCATCAACTAGGGCAAAATATACCCTTGCATCATTAAACTCCTACAAAATATGTCTGAGATGGAATAAAAGCATCCACATGGAGGGGTTAGTTCTCATAGCTATCAAAACATAGCTTAGTTTACAACCATATTCCTACCAAAAAAAAGCCCATAATAGTTCTTCTGCATGATCAGAACATGCTCCATTCATGTCTAGTGTGTTTAGGTTTTCTTTTAAGCAATAATTCAGATGCTGACAGCAGGCAATGTTTAAGTGAATCTCTAAGGCATTCATGAGACCATTGCTAGAATACGATGTCCAGTTCTGTATCCTTCCTTTCAGGAGACTGTCAAGAATTTGGAAAGACTTCAGAAAAGAATTATAAGAATAATTCAGGGTTTGGAAGATATATTTTATTAGTGAATGATTAAATGACTCTTAAATGCAACAGACAAATGCATAAAGAGATCCAGGTGATTAGTTTCTGAAATTAGATGTATTTGGGATAGAATGGAGCACACACCTTAAAGAGTGAGATGAGTAACTAATGAAAAAGATAACGAGGAAATGGGTAGATTGACCAGTCTTTTTAATGAGAGGTGTGAAGGTATCAGTTTACAAGATGCCACTTAGATATGTGATTATAGCTCTGTAATGTAAGTAGATTTTGTCTAGCTCTTCCAAGGATTGACAAGTACTGCCATTGCAGCATGCTTCTGAGCCTGAACTCCTGCCTGAACTCCTACATGTTTCTGGTACTAGCACACATCTTACATCCTACCTTTCATTCCTTGCTGCTGGAAGGGCCAGTGGCTCACAGACATCTGTGCAAAATAGTCATATCTGTGATTGCAGTGAGAGACCCCTTTGATGACTCTTGTGGACTCTTCCGACTATTACATTTTCCCCCAAAATCCTAACAGCAATAGCAGAATGAGAGAGTATATACAGCTGCAATAGCTGTATCTGGATATTAAATCTATCTTTCCAAACAACTGCTGGAGCAGATACTTATGTATTCAACAATGTCTGAGGAATGAAAACTTTTGACAGCACTATACCTTCCCACAGTATCTTTCCTGCAAATTTCAGTATACTTGAGAATCCTAATTGAGCTTCTCAAATCTCGTAGATAGACCTGAGAATATTTATTTTCTGTAGCTGGACAAATTCTCCTTTGTGGAAGCTGTATATTCCAGAGGCCAGCTTAATGTGAATTTATGAAATGGATTTATACACTTCTAGCATGTGTGTAAATGCCTTGCATAGACTTACGCAAACACGTTTCATAATTTTCTCTGGATTTTGAGTTACAAAGATATTTTTTTGAAAACAAGCACAGTTTAGATGAAACGGAGACAGGACCCAGCTCCAGTCAACAACTTACTTTCAACAAAATTAATCCAAAAGTACAAAACACTGATCTGAATCTAATTTGTATATAAAGCTTAAACCAGATTTCTTATCTACTCCTCCTCTTTGCTGCGTACCTCCACATCACAATCTGAAATGCAGTTTACATGGAAGCTTTTCAACCTGAGTCCATCCCAGTGTTATGAAAGAAAGGGCTTGATTCCGATCTCACATCAACTAGTGCCAATATTCAACAGCATAAATGAGACCAATATTAAGCTTCAAGTCTGAGTTCCTTTACATGTAAAAGACCAAGAACCTTTTTTTTGGTTTGTAACTGCTGTAAACTGAAGTGAAAAAAAAAAGATCTTTCATGCAGCCAGAACCAAATATTTATCTAAATGACAAAGCTTTAACCCAACTGATCATTCTTAATTCCTTTGGTATTCAGTAGAATAACACCCTTCATGGTGACCTCTCTTTGTATTCCTGCAGATTAAGTACGTAATTCAGCAGGAATTCCACGCTTCAACTTTTTTGCCAGGACATGAAGGCTCCCTGCCATCAAAGAGCCAAGAATGTGGTCCCAAGGCTCAACTGTCAACTCTTGTTGCTTGGTGTTTGTTTATTTTAAATGACACCTTATCAATACTGACATGAAATTCATAAAGTTCATCTCTTCAACTGTAGAAAGGATAACAGTAAGCAGTCATTTAACCCCTTTCCTCTTGGAACTGATGAGCTGAGAAGGGAAAACGTTATTTGTGGAGAGTGGGCAATTTAAATAAAAGCAAGTCCCTCGACACGCGCATGCTAAGGATACTCTGCCTCCTTCATGTTATTTCTAGCAAAAAAGAAGTCACAGGAGTAGATGTTATGGATATGGGAAAATGTAGCAATATTTCAAATGTATATATGAGGATCAGCCCCTTGACAGCAGTGCATTGTGACCTGGTTTCACAGGATCACAGAATCATGTAATGATTGATATTGGAAGGGACTGCTAGAAATCATCTAGTGCAACCTTCCTGCTAAGTCTGGACACCTAGAACATGTGGCACAGGGTCACATGCAGACAGGCTTTGAATATCTCCAAATTTGTCCTGCCTTTGCTGCTTTTCCTTGAACTGCCTTCCCTGTCTGGACAGGCAGTAGAGACTGCAGATGTAGAGGCATCATATTACTGCATCAGTTCTCTTTGGAGGACAAGGAAGAAAGGAACAAAAGGAACAAAGTTTTGATGAACAAAATTATAGTCTCCTGATGCAAATTTGATGCTTCCTGTTTGACCTCCCAACATAAATCAGTGTTGCAAAGATTGTACCAAGATCTGGGACGTTGCAGTGTCTGGAGGCAAAGCCTTGTTGTGACACCTCTCTTGTAAGGTTCAGATATTCCTTGCAAATAGAAATGAGGCAATGCCTCTTTAATCGGATGTGAAGACCAGTCTGGAACATATATGATTCTGGAGGGAAATAACAAAACAAACCCTTAAATTTTCAAAAACAGTAGGTCGTGATGTTGACATTTGGCATGGGGTCCTCACATGCCCTTTTAGAACACATACAACATTTGCTAATGGTGGGAAGCAGCTAGCTCACCAGCATCCAAGCCTCTCGCTCCTTGGTGAGCATCACCACACTGGAAGATCAGTGAGCTTTTATGGAGAAAAATGTTGTGCTTCATTTCCCAAGATACTTACATACGAACAAAATTGCTTTTGTTTAAGAATGGGATATCAACTTAGAGACTTTAACAGTCCATCATGTAAATGAGAGCATAATTCTGTTATATGTCCTATGCCTTTGACTTTCATTTCAGCTCCTGGGAGCTTTGTAGCCTCAGTTTTTTCAGGACCGTTCAGTGCACCGCAGGCAAAGCCTGTGTAAGGCAGATTTACCTCAGACTGACAGTAGTGCTTATATTTTGCTTAGTTCTTTATGTAAATGTTTGAGGACACATTGTTGAGACTGGCAGTGCAGTCAAGATCAAAACATCTAGCACTAGGAAAGGAACAAAAAGCATGTCCAGGAAACTGAGTTCTGCAAATTTGTGTGTTTGAAGAGCTGTTGCCTACTATATAGAGGAATCAGTGTGGGAGGAGGTGTGCTCAGCTTGCTGGGTCCCACAAGTCCTATTTTTGGGCCTCTTTCCACTTGCATCATATAAGGAGCATAGAAATCTCCAGGGACAATAAGGACACTCAGTTTGAATGTTGCTTGGTCTCTTTCTGGATCGAGCTTAAAGTGACTTGTCTGCTTTATAGAATCAACCAAGTCCCTTGACTAAAACATCCATCTTATAGGCAGGAAATGAGGATTAAAAACATGGGTTTAGTTATCCAGCTCTGGTCACTCCTTTAGATGCATCAAAATGATCATGGATATTTGCAGGGTCACTGTTCTTCACATATTTGAGCATCACATTATATAATGAGAAGCTCGATTTACATTACTGCATTTAAAGCTGTGAAACACGTTCCAATAGCATTCCCAGGTTACTGGGGTTTAGAACTTGGCTGAACATTTTTTCTCCCTGGGACAAAGCATGGAAACTGGCCTGGAAAATATTTTTATTTTGTTTTCTCCCTTTTCCTAATTGTCTTTTTGGCTCCTCTGCAATCTGGAATGGACATTGATAGACGTGTGGATTTGCCATAGCCAAAAGACAGGCAGCAAAAGCCCCTAGGACAGGGCTCAATTTAGGGTAAAAACTTCCTTGTAAAATTTGGCACAGAGGTCTGGAAACCAAATATATAGCTGATCCTATCTAGATCCCACAGAGGAAGGTTTGATTTCATCCCTTTAATAGTTTCAGGCATCTTGCTGTGATGTATTAGGCCTACTAGTGTCTTGGTTATGTGCCTGTCGTGCTGCCCCCACTGAGCAGTAGAGTGAAACTGATAGAGGGAGATCTTCTCTTTGCCAGCACGTCCATATGCACATCAGTTCTGGAACAGTATGCCCATTCCTTTGCTCCTATCCATAGAGCAAAAATGAAGATACAGAACATTTGGGAGAGTGTGGATGGATGTCTGTCAGTTTTTAACTGCTCATTTGTGTTTTGGTCTTTCAGTCACCACAGGGTAGATGAGATATCAGCATGTCACCTCTTCCATTATTACTACTCTTCTGCCTGCCTTTACCTTACAAAACTGGGAGATAATTTCAAAAAACTTGTTCCTCCCTGCAGAAGAGGTCTCATAACTCACACTTCTACAAGGCAAGAGCATACATAACGTTGTTGGCAGTTTCCCAGTTCATGCTCTAATTTACCTCAGAACAAACTAATTCTTGCCTGAGTTGACAGGCCATTTCTTATGGTTATGACAATAGAGCTTTGATTTGTAACAGATTCCCTAAAGCTCATTCCTCCTCACTGGCTCTCCACCCGACAGGATTGTCTCCATGCTGATCCCCGTAACCAGCCGCACTCGTGTCAAGCGCAGCGGCATCAGTCCCCTGCACTTAGCAGCTGAACGCAACAATGATGACATCTTGGAAGAGCTGATCGACGCTGGCTATGATGTGAACACTGCCCTTTCCCAGGAACGGTCCTGCCTTTATGAGGACAGACGTACCACCCCTCTTTATTTTGCTGTCTTCAACAACAACATCTACGCCACAGAGCTCTTATTGCAGGCTGGAGCCAACCCTAACGTTGACCTCATCAACCCTCTACTTATCTCCATTCGCCACGGCTGTCTAAAGACCATGAAACTGCTTCTTGACCATGGAGCAAACATTGATGCCTATATAACAAGCCATCCCACCACATTTCCAGCTACCATCATGTTTTCAATGAAGTACCTTTCTGTGCTCAAATATCTCCTGGATCTGGGCTGTGATGCAGTTTCCTGTTTTGAGTGTCAGTATGGAAATGGTCCACATCCTGTGTTAAATTACAGAAGGGACAGACTTAACGATCCTCAGCAGCCCAAACAGCCAACCATAATACAGGTAAGCACTGCCTAATTTACCTACAGTACTTCTGAGCACCTCTCTTACCAAGGCATCATGCGATCTTAATGTATGTCTTCTCCCAACTTTCTTGTGGGGAAAGAATGCCCTTATTCTTACTTTTATACATAAATAAAAGACTCAGTAAGAGTTTGTAAGTTGCCCAAGGACACATTTAAAAACAGTGGAAGGGTAGGCAACAGATCTGGTAGCCATAGGCTGAATTTGAGGTAAATTCTAGCCATCTCCACAGCCTTTGCTTGCAGATGTACAATACTGTTTTCCACTGGATTTGGTCTGCCAAGAGTGAAGCATGCCTAATATCATACGGGGCATTGACTATCAGCAGTGGAAACCTGCTTGTGTTATTTGCAACATAAGATTTGTGTTATCTTGTACAGATTGTCTAGTTCTACACGTGATAAGAGTGACTGGGTGAATGTAAATAGTTGTGATTTTTGAAATTTACTGAATGAAAACCCCTGGAAAGAGTATAAATCATTACATTAGCTAAATGACTTTTTGCATTGCATTCAGAATTTCCATAGGAAATTAGGAAAATTATATCCATGATTTCTTATTTTCAAAGGTGCATACAAATTTTAGTTGTCCATGTCTTTTATATGTATCTGTGCAGTCCCTTCCAAAGCTTAGCTTCATTGAGATTAAATTGGGATATTAATTCCCTAAGCTACTTTACAGATTCTCAAAATATACACTTCTTTTTGTTCTCTGTTGACTCTTTCCAAAACCTAGCCCTTCCATCCGAATTTCTATCCTGCAATACGTAATACAGCAAATATAGCTCAGAATGGCAGTCTTCTTTCTCTTATATTAGATATCAGGGAAGGAATAAATCAGCTCCTCTCCAGTGTAGCTTTGGGGGATACAGAAGAATGTGTTATTCAGCAAAAAGAGATAGTGACCAATACTTCTTCGTGATGAAAATAATAAAAGAAAATACTAAAAGATCCTAGAAAATCATAAGCTTTTTCATAATTCTTGGGCTCCAAAAGATTTTGCTGTCCAGGATCTACCTTGGAAACAAAAACAAACAAACAAACAAAACCCACAAAGCAAAACAACAACAAAAAGAACTCTCATGCTAAACAGACCCACATTCTCCTTCAGGGAGTTTGCTGAAGCAAAATTTCTCCAGGACAACACAATTTTGTCAGAGAAAAGGAATAAAAGACAATATAATACTCCCAATTCTTGACCCATGAAAATATACAACATAGAATGAGAAGAGGGCTGGAATCCTGAGACAAAGAGAAGGAGGTTTTCTGCAGCCTTCTCTGATATCCCAGCTACACAAAATAGTTCTGATTTTCATTTGGCTCTCAGTTAACACTGTTTCTTGGAAACAATGGAACCACTTGCAGACTTCACCTATGAGGAATATGAGACAGAAATAGCAAAAGCTATGTAAAATTATATCTGCGCCTACAGCAGAAGAGATATCAATGAGGAACAGATACAAACAAAACATATAAAGCAATTCCTTCCCCCTAAGAAATGTCATATTAGATTTGCTGTCAACCACCAGGATGGCTAATAAAAGTACGGCTTGTATTATACAGCTTCATGATATCTGGATCATATGAAACCATAACTTTCTCCTAGCAAAATATGTATATTATTTTCTAATATCACATTACACAAAGATAATAGGTCAGAATAATTAATCTTTATATGGTAAAGACTATGAGTTTTCAAACAATTAACACGGGGAATGAAGTATCCTACTGCCACAAGAGAGCATTCACTGTCCTTCTGAGACTGCAGGCAAATTATGTCATAGGACTAGAGTCCCTCGGTCTTGGAGAATCCCTTTGCATGTAGTTGCTGACTTACATTGTTTTATTTTGCCATGTTCATTTCCTGCAACAAATTTGGGGATATTTTTATTCTGGAAAAGGTTTTATAGACTGCACTTATCTGGAGGGAAGAGAAAAAGGACATGCAAGGGACAAGCAGGGACAAGAAATAAAATCCAATATTTTATTGTCTTACATCTGTGTCCTCATTTAAACTTAGACGTGGTGGCTTTACTGTGTGGAGGTGGTAATGCAGATCCCCTGCTTTGTACTTCCTATGGGTAGCTGCATGGCAGCAGCAGGTGCGCTGGAAAAATAGACCTGGGTATCCCAAAATGAACTTTCTGTAATCAGTCCAGGGAGAAATCTGGGCTGTCCACTTGGATCCTCCCAATATTAAGCTGGTGTCGTTTCTTTGCCATTTGGGGTAGGCTCAGAGTGTGCCTGCTGACAGTGTCAGGGATAAGCTGATGGATGGTACTTAAATCACCATAATTCAACTGGATTCGGCCCTGTGCCTGTGCACAGTGAGTTACTGTGTGCACAGTGTGATTTAATTCATCTTAGCTTTCCTGACTGCTCCCATGCAGATAAGTAATAGATATCCTCGCCATATGCAGCACCCTACCAGAAACAGATGAAGCTGTCTAGTATAATGCACATATTTAGACCGAAGTGGAAAGACAAGTCACTATTTTTGTTAAACAAGACAACTTAAAGTCAGTTTCTTACATCTATTTTTCGGTATTGATACAAGCCTGCCTTCATGCAAAGCTGTCACTGGTGGCAACAGAAGTTTTGCCTGATTTAGGGCTGATGAGAGGCCCAGGATAGTTCTCCTGTGTGTAAGTGAAACAGTCTGGGATTCATCTCCCAGAGTCATTTCTAGCAAGGTGTTTGATGTCCAAAAGCTGCAGACAGCAACAGGTTCACCAGAGACAGGAGGTGCTGTGCTCTGCCTGCCCTATCTGCTGCTTCCTCAGAGCCTCCTTTGCACACAGGTGTCCTGCGGAGGCCCTCCCAAGCAGGACAGGAATCCAGCACACTTTGTCACAGCATCCTGGGCTGGGTAGGCCCTACAGCAGCTCCCGCACCAGCTCGTGGCAAAGCCCAGAGCACTGCTCCTCCCATTCCCATGGGAGAAGGACTGTAAATCATGCTTTCTGTGCTCCACAGCTAGGCCTCCACCAGGGTTTTGTCTCCTCCAGTTGAGATAAAGGGGAATTTTGCCTTCAGTCTGTAAAAAAAGGGACTTTAGTAAAAGTTTTCTGAGGAAAAACTTGTAATTGTCCTCATGGCTGGTAGAAAGATGGGCCAACCAAGTAGCCAGGTCTACTGCTGTTGTAGTTTCCATGGGGTGAATTCATCTCTCACTAACTGTGGTGAATCTGTTTTTTGTTGAAGTTCTGTGAGATGGTGTCTGCTCCAGAGATGAGTCGATGGGCTGGGCCGATTATCGATGTTCTCCTGGATTATGTGGGTAACGTGCAGCTCTGTTCCCGGCTCAAGGAGCACATAGACAGCTATGAGGACTGGTCTGTCATTAAAGAAAAAGCAGGTATGGTCACCCAGGGAAGAATCCTGCACAGCACATTGGGGTTGGCATGATGCATGGCAGAGGGGAAGTGAGGTGGGAGGAAGTCCTGACCATACAAAAAGAAGCAGAAAATTCCCTATTTTCATTTACTTCCCCAAAACCATCAGTAAAGGTCCTTGCACATTCCTCTTCCTAACCTTTGTGGCCTGTATGGGTGTGCTGTGACAGGATTCCTTTCAAATCAAGCTGCATTAGCATGCTGGCTGCATGCAGCTCTTCAGCTGCCAATAAGGTTCTCCCCACGTTTAGTGTGCTCACCACTGGCCAGGCCAAACTGAGCTTTCAAGTTTAAGTTTTTCTGCTCATACCTCTGACCTGTCTCTCCTGCAGAGCCACCAAGACCTCTTGCCCATCTTTGCCGCATCAAGGTTCGAAGCTTGGTTGGAAGAAATCGCATTAAACTTATTGACACCTTGCCTCTCCCAGACAGACTGATTCGATACCTACAGCATGATTACACGCAGTGACCTTGGGCAAACCAGACACAGAGCAGCTTCCCAGCATGGCACCCAGGGTCATCGCAGGGGACAACAGCATGGTGATGGCACAGGCGCTGCATGGTGGAGAGGAGCTGCTGCTGGCCTTGGTCTGGCACTCTCCAATTACTCAGCTAAACTAAATACACTTCTGGAGCAGGAATGAGAACAAACTGAAACAGTGTGCCAAACACTGGACTATTATTATTGTACAGTTCACCTCAGAGCTTGGTCTGCAAAGAAAGGGAAATGAAAACCAGCACTAAGAAAGAGTCGTGCTGAAACAAGTATCGGTGAGGAACTGAAAGGTATTTTGGGGTCTGATGGAACTTCCTGTGATCAAAATTCAGAAATGATCAAGAATCACCATATTTGGAAAAAATGATTGCATTTCATTCACTGACTGACATTTTTGTTTTAGTTTCTGTTCTTTTTTTCTGATTTCTGCTCAGTGTGCTGGTAACTAAATCTCTGATATTTTGACACCATTTTGCTAACTCTTTTATTTTTTGTTTTGTTTTGTTTTGTGACCTTTCCTTTGAATAGAGAACTTGATTTCTGAACATTCAAAGCTCAGAACATTTTAGTAGATTCTTTTTCTCTCAGCACAGTACTGTACAAATATTAGGGGAAATAGAGAAATGCTGATTCCTTTAAAAGTCAGGGGAAGATTTATTTAAGAAGGATGTAAGAACTGTATTTATGGATAGAAAATAGAGTTCATATTGCATTTCATTTGCAAGAAAAAGGTCAAATTCTTTCTGAGAGAATTTTCTGGACTGAAGATTTGAAAGCAACTCTGAGCTTATTTTTGGTGTGTAAATTAGAAGTAGCTGCACTGGAAAGAGTAGCTTTACTCTGTCTTGAAGCTGTTGTCAGAAAAGAATGAAGCCATAGAGGAACATGAACCAACAGTGATGCAATGGAGAGAGGCAAGGTAACATGGATATGCCATCTTTGTTAAACCAACTTTATCTGTTGCTATGCTAGATCAAACTGTCCCCATGAAACCCAGGCTCTCTTACTTCCTTGGACCATTGTGGCAATGACAGTACTATTATTGGAATAAGAGAGATTATTTCAAAATGATGAAACTCAAACTTTGAAAATTTATAAAAATGAATACCCTGAATTAAACTTCTAAAGCCTATTTCAGGTGCCTGAACAATGTGAAGTTGTTTACACCAGGTGTAGTTCCACTGAAGAACATGAGACTATGTTTGGTGTCAGATATTACTGAGGCACAAGAAAAGGTTTAGTATTTATGTGTGAATAACCTGAGTTTGGAATTTCAGGGTATGTCTTAGCACCCTCTGACACTGATGGAAGTTATTGTCTCAGCTTCGTTAAAGTATAGGTCACCTATTTACCACTGAGATCTACAACTGATTTATGGCAGCTTAACAAGTTACCATCTATCAGTTGAACTGCTGTAATTGTCCGTGAAATTATTGTATTGAGGTTTTTAACAAGTCACATTCCCTCACAGCTGGGGAGGCTGAGGAGCTCACGAACAGTTATTGGCAGCGACGACAGCTCTGTTGACAGGTGTGACTTGACTTGCTGAACCACTGTGCACCTCACTCCCAATGAGACACCTAATAAGCATGGAAGAACCAAAATTCGGCACCACATCTTTGCAGATCTCATGCTAAAAGCACACTGCTCCTTATCTTAGGTATCAGAGGAACTGTGCACTATGATTTGGTTGGATTTCCACTAGAGATCTGACTGATAAGTTTTCCTTGTTGGTTGGTACACCATTCATGGAATCAGAACTGTAAGTAGGGAAAATGTGTTGCACCAAGTGTTCTTTGTGTGGAGTTTTACACCTTAGCACAGAACTAAAACTGTATTGCACAGGTGAAGATATATTTGGGCACATAAGTTTAGATTGTGAAATGCACTGTCTTGAAATGTGTTTAGCACTTGTGGAATAGGATGTGAATGGAAGCAGAAATGATTATAGTTGTGTTCTATCCAAAGCTGTCCGCTTCTCAAATACAAAAGCCATCAAAGAAACGTCAGTTTCAGTTCAGACTCAACTGTGATCTTGCAAAGCTTTGGTAAGTCAGCTGAGATTTCTCTACTGTTGGAATTTTGTCCAGCAAGTTGCCTTATTACCAGGTTGGTATGTGTCCTGAAGCACGAACCCCAACATTTTTGCATAGTGGGTGGGAGGTGCTTAGAGAAAAGCTGTGCTGTCCCCTTGGCTCAGTCCTGCAGCAGATGGGCATACAGTCAGGCTCAGAAGATTGACCCTCCAAGACACACAAGTTACGAACTGGCTGACAGTGATCCCAGAGCTGAGAACAGCTGCCTGAATGGGTCACTAAAACTCTCTTCTGTGTTTTGGGAGTCTGTCCCTGCAGACCCATGCTTTAGAAAATATGTTCATACTTAAAGAAAAAAAGACAAAAAGCGTATTTATTCCCTATGTGCTGTACTGTACAGAAAAGACCTTCCCAGACTACCCCAGACACCTCACAGCATTGAGCAGTGCAGCTTTCCTGAGCTGTGATCGTGGATATGCCTTGTAAACCAAACTACAGTACTAAAATACTGGGCAGAGGGAAAGGGAATAGGGATAGGAATTCTTTAGGTTAGTATTGCCTGGCAGAGTCTGTGTCCGTAAGCATTTGTTTGGTGTGCAGTGACAGCCATGGAGATCCCTGGCTAATGGAAGGATTTGAAATCACCATCTGCATGTACACATCACAAGGATAGGCCTTCAAAAATGATCCCAAGCTGAGAATTTGCCCCGAACCATAATCATCGTTTATATAAAGTCTGAAAAAATCACAGTTCTTTAAAATTTCTTCGGAAAGTTGAAAGCAGATTTGACTGAAGCAATTATACAAAGTCCGTTTCTTCAACCAAGGAATATACATGTCCCTTGGAAAGCCTGTGTTCTGGTACTCCTCAAACATTTGTCTTAATCAAGTGTATCACTGAGCTGGAGAGCATTAGTTTGGTGTAGACCTATTGCAACTGCAACTGCAGAAATTGCAACTGCAGAAATTGTGGGGAAACAAGTCTGTAAGAGGGTGAGTATAGTAATTACAATATTATTATATTGTTCCTGCTTGATCCATACTGAAATCATTTACAGTCAGTTTACACATATTGCACTGAAATAGAGCTGGCTACCTCTTACACACTGACCGCTGGCACAAATATTTCAGGTGAGTTACTGAATCTGCACAAACTCATTGTGAATTTATCTGTCTAAAAGCTACTGTGAAATGGCAAATACTAAACAACCCAAACAAACATGGCTTTGTAACCGAATCAGTACTTCCAATGCAGAGTAAAGTGGTTTGTTTTTACTGAGCATGATAGGTTTCTTCAGAGATGATGGCTTTTCCTGAGATGTCCTAGGAGTATTTCATGACCAGATTATTGTACCTTTTTTTTTTTACTGCAACATGTGCAATTTCCTTTATGTTCTTGTGCACTTTTTTGATATTTTATTTTGTATGAAAGCCTTTTCATTCACCTCTCCCTTCCCGTTATTTATAAAAGCTATTGTGGTGTTAACAGATTAAATTTTCATTGTTGTAGTAAGTAGCAGCTCTGAATGATATATTTTCCTCTTTCAAAGTATGAATAAACAATTAAATTCTGAAAGACCACCAGCTGTCCTGAATAACCACACTGAGTGACTTAGCACAAAAATATCCAGGAAAAGTGTGAATCAGTTCAAGTTTGAACAAGTGATAATAATTTGGTAGGCAAACACAGGAGGGAGAAAGCAACAAGCACTGCAAGCAAGGAGACAGTTTTGCAGCTATTCCAGTTTTGATTGGATCCATATTCTGGTGTAATATGCATTACTTCCAAGTTTCTCTCCTGAACTCAACCAGGTGCACTTGGCCACAGCACTCACTGTAATACCTGTAGGTTTTTCTGTGACTTGCTCTGCTCAGCCCGCTGGAAATCTAGAATAATGCCATGGATGCCGCTGTGCAGTAGCACCACTGAGATGAAGTTCAGCATCTGTGTTACAATGGCAACACAAGATTAAATATGTGAAAAATGTAGCTCTTTACATATAAAGAAATCCCCTGGCTATACTTTTATAGATTCAGAGCCATAGTTCTCTCACTGAATTAAAAGGGAATGCTACTTTTGATTTCTGGCAGAGCAAAGAGAGGACAGAGTCCTCTCACTTCCTCCCATCCCTTCCCAAAATACAAAATTCTTATTGGCATCCCTAGGCCAGGTGGGTACCTCTAACCCTTAGACTGGCTCTTTACCAGCCTGCACATTGCATGGAGTTGCAGGAATGTGCTACCAATGCTACTCACATCTGTCTCCTGTCTCACTTCCTATAAATGGGATCTACATAGGTTTGACACACATAGTAAGTGCTAGTACCAGAGGCAAATTAGTGAAGACTATTTCTGTTGTTACTTTTGACCTAGTAGATCAATGCATTACAGCCCTTGCTTTCATATAGCAAAACATGAGCATGATTCAGTGAGAGTTTTAGGAAAAGAATAAGCTAGTTTTGGCCAGAGGTTAGTGCATTTCCAAACTAAAGTTGCAACCTGGTTATGTGATGCCAAACACCATTAGAAGATCCAAAGTTATACTTCAGAAGGCTTAAAATGTTCATTTTCTTACGATTGCATCTTCCTCAAAAACAGCTAAGCCTGTTTTCCCCCTCAGTGAGAAACTAAGTGCAGGTCCTAGGGAGCTATGCCAGCTGGGGAATGTGCAGGTTGAGACTGCCTTCTGCCGAGTCCTGGAAGAAGTTCCCGTTAGCTCCAGTGGGATCTGGTTCAGGCCTTGGAAGACTGGAAGATCAGAGTCCATTCTCTGGCCTTTCCCCACCCACTCCCATGATATACTGCCTTCCACCTCAATTATTTACATTGCTTACAATAAAAGTGAATGGATATATAAGCCTGCAATGTTAAAGCTTTCAGATCTGGTGTTCTGTAACTTAGCACTGCATTATCCATAGACTTTAGAGATGTTTAAGAATATTCCCTGTTAATTTTTCTAAAGCAACTTTAATAATTATTAAAGTAATAGAGTTAATAAACACTTTTGTAGTCAGATCTTGTGATAGCATCTTTAAATCTGGCAAAATGGAAGATCTCTACTACAAGGAGATGGCAGAAGTAGAAGTCAAGGCATGCCTTGGCTATGCACTTTTCAATCATATTTTATATTTTTATACTCAGCAAATTACACCTGCTGTTGACACTTAGAAATTAATCCTGCTTTTGTTTGCTTTCAGTGTAACACTAGCTCATTTCCCAGCCTCACAAGAGTTGCTGCTGATCTATATCACTCAAATGGCAGGGATTTTAGCCCTCTTGTCTCTCCACCACTTACAAATAAAATTTGCATCAATTCAGTGGGGCAAAAATAAACCAACTTCATTTGCAGAATGACCAAGGTAAAACCACCTCCTTTCTTCCTTTATTTTTTTTTAATTTTCTCAGTATTTACATATAAGAAGAGCTTAAACCAATTTACAAACATGGTGTCTACATTAAATACTGTCCACTCCAATCTCTTACATGCCAAAGGAAGTGACCCAAGTGTCTTGACTTCTCTGGAATTACTTTAAAGCACAAAACATTTTGAATGGTTTTAATCCATCTCATTTCACTGCTGTGGCTGCAGGGCAACCCCAGAAGGATGTTCCCACATGGAGGAAGTCTCCTAGATGTTACAAGAGCAGATTATGGACGGTTCTTAGCTCAACTCACCCTGGCTCAAACAATGCACTCCAAAGAAAGAGGCCTGATTCGCCTTGCACTTCACACCACCAGCTCCGTAAGGCTTATTCCTGATTTACACCCGTGTAGTGAGAGGAGAACCAAGCCCGCAGAGATTCACAGACATTGTTTAATTTGCCCCAGCTTGTGCAAGGGAGCCCCATGCAGTCACTGCCCATCCCTAGATGGAAACCACCCTCCATCCGCGCGCGTCCCTATGCTCCACTGTCCGCTCCCAACCGCACCTGAAGTTACATTTCAAGGCGTGTTAAGTCATTATTGTATTCAAAGTCACAACCCTCCTGGCTCCCACCCTCCCTCTCCCACCCACCCCGCTAAATGTAGCCAAAAACATTGAAAATAGGAGGGGGCACAGGCGGCTTGGTGGGAATGGGCTTCACCACCACGGGCCTGTAGAGTTTCTGCCCTGCGTTGTCCGCCTCCTTGCAGAAGTGCTGGACCTCCCCCGGCAGCGCCGCGCTCTTCCGCCACAGAGCCAGGCCCGGGAAGAGCGAGGGCGGCAGCGCCGCGGGGCTTTGGTACAGCGGCTGCCCGGCGCACTGGAAGGGGCAGCAAGTCCAGGCAGGCACGCGGGCGGCCGCGGGCGGCCCCGCTGCCTTGGCACGGTCCTTCTCGCCACCATGCAGCACGGGCTCATGGGCGCTCTCGGGGCCAGCAGCCTCCGGGCTCCGTCTGCTTTTCTTCCCCTCGTAAGGAAGAGGCTCTCCGGAGTTTGGGAGCCCGTCCAGGCCAGCGGGAAAGCTCCTGCCCAACAGGCTCTGCGCCGGCCGGGGCTCTTCCCAGAAGGAGGCAGGCAGCTGTCTCTTTCTCATGGGCACCTGATCCGGCCTGGCAGGCTCAGGGTTTTGCTCCTGCAAAAGCTGCTCGCCGGGAAAGGTCTCCTCCGCCTCAGCAGCCCTCAGTGCCCTCTCGGCTCTGCACTGGGGGCTGGAATCGGCCGCCTCGGGCTGGGCGCCGCGACCCCTCTCCTCGGTGCCCTTCTTCCCGCTGCACTCCACTGGTTTGCTGGGATGGCACCGTGGGATCCTGGAGTATTTCTGGGAAAACCTCTTGAGCTGCTTTTGCAAGTATTTTCTGTGGTCGACCGACCGGCGGCAAGGAGCGGATTTATCCAGAGCCGCTTTGATGTCACTCGAGGCCAGATTGACAAAATTCAGGAGGGTTTTTACCTCGCTGTCTGATGCCATTTCACAGAGCGCGGCTTGCGGAGATTTCCATTAAAAGTTTATAATCCTTCTCTTCCAGCTCTGGCAAATCTGTGAAACACGACGGGCAGATTTAAAGCACGAAACATCAAAAAGCATCAAATAAAGCAGGGCAGGATGGGTAGAGAAGCGGGGAAGAAACACGTCAAACTTCCCCACTAAGCGAGCGAGTTGTCAGCTCTCTCCCGTAAACGCTGCTCCAAGCCTGCGTCCCTGCATCCCGGCGTCCCGGCATCCCGGCATCGCCGCACAGGTGCGCACAGCCGCGTGGCTTGGCTCGCTCGTGCCGGGCAGCCCCACGGCTAATCTTGTTAGGCAACGTCCAGCTCGGAGGCGCTTCCCGCGTCCCCGCAGCCAAGCACACACACTCACCCGGGCGCGCAGGAGGTAGTGGCACCCGCGCCGGCTGCTACTGTAGCACCGCTGGGACGAGCCCCCTTCCCCGGCTAATCTTGTTATGCAGGTTACACACTGCCAACCTTTACAGGGGCAGCTGGAGCCCGCGAGTGTTTGGAAGCAGTTTAGCAAGCACTTGAGTAAGCTGAATGAATATCGACTCGGTCTAGTTCGGGGGGCTCTCCCAGGCCAATCAGAAGCCACTTTGCCAAATACAAAGCATCCCAATCAGGCATTAGCCTCCCCGTTCTCACATTCTTTGCCATCACAAATTGTTGCCATGGGGACAGCCACAGAAAGACAGCTAATAAATACAATCATTTCCCTGTGATTTCTACCATTCTCCCCTATCCTCCTCACCCTTACTAAGGCCTTTTTTTTTTTAAAAAAGAAAAAAAAATTGTACAATCCAAAGAGAAAATGTTGATGATGAGCTAAGATAGTTTAGGCACCTTTTTCTCTGCACGCCTCGAAAGCTGTCTAGGGGCTGATACGACCCATGCTTCATTGGCATAGGACAATGTAATACAGAGGACCAGGCTAGCCTACTTTTAACCATTCCCCATCAGAGCTCTTTTTTTTTTTTTTTTTTTTTTTTTTTTTTTTTTTTTTTTAAGGGGAGGATGATGTCAGAAAAAGGTAGGAAAGGAACAAATCTCTAAAGAGATGTGCAGATATCCATGGAAAGGGAGCTTGAGCGCTCAAGAATCTTGTCTTTATGTTTGCCCCCTCAATTGAGTTACACAAAAGCTGAATTACCCATTCAAACTACCCGGACAAAAGGATGGAGTTGGATAGTACTCTTGCATCTGTAGTCAAACAGTTAGAGACTTAAATCGAGTCGTCATGATGGAGAAAGAGTTAGACAAAGCCCATAGAATTGCCATCAGCAAACATTTTCCTGTGTCATATTAGTGGGTCTCCATGACTCCCCCTGGCCTGGGGACAATAGCACAAGTTTGCACACTCGACTACTGTCACCCTGCCAACGCTGGCAAGGAGCAGAAACAGGACAATCCTTTAAGGGGAAAGCATGCCCGCTGCAGGGAAGGTAAGAAGAGAGGGAAGAAAAGGCGTGTGAAATGCTAATTGAGCTGCTTCCTTTACTGATCCAGAGTTATGCGAGTCCTCCGCCTTCTTGGAGGGTTGTCCTAAGGGGTGGCAATAACTTAATAGCATAGGAAAACCAGGAGTCCCACCATGCATACCCTCTCGTCCAGGAGAAGAAGAGAGCAGGGAGGCCTGTCCTAGGCACACATGGGGCATGCCAGAGATGCAGAGCTCGTGCCGGCCTGCATGCCAGCTCTGAGCCCTGCTGCCGCACCACGGACCAGGTGACGTGGGCATTCCATGGCCCATCTTGCTTTCCAGCTTCCGAGATGCAAGACGATGCAAGGAGCTGTAAGAGTCTCAAATCTTGTGCGTCTTCAGAGAGACACATGAGGTTAAAGACACACATCTATCACTGTGGCGAAAGGAGCGTCAGGAATCCAGTTCACCTCCATGATGCAAGTAACCACTGATGTGTGGCCTCAAAAGCCTGAGCACAGAAGCTTGCCCAAAAATCACCATTTATGCCTATTTTATTGTATTTCTCTTGCTTCCCTCAGAGCCGGACAATGATCCAGATTGACCATTATACGATGTAGGATGCTCACCAGACTGTGCAAGGGCCTTAGGGAGGACTCATCAGCTGTCCATACTGGTGGGGTCGGTGCTGCTGTTCTTATTTCATATCATTCCTCCCAGTCTGGTCTGAGCCACATGTAATGACTGCAGTGCTCAAGGTGTTTCCAGTCTAGGTGAACTCTCCAGCACCAGGATATCATATAATAGGAGGTGTTGCAAAGCCTTTGACATTGCTGCACACTGTAATAATGCTGCTGATTAGCAGCACCAGGTTTGCCTCTCTCATCTTGACGTGCAAGCACTGAAATTAGTTTTTCAGTCTTCTTGTTCACTCGAAAGGGAGTGCAGAAAATCCTGAGGCTGTGTTGTTCCTAGCTGAAGCAGCAGGTGAAGCTGACACAGTAAGAAGGTCAACCAGAAAGCTTTCCCCTAGGTGATGAGGGCACTAGGGTTTCTTTTCTCTGAATTTGTTCCACAAGCAATTCCTGTCTCAGGAGACCTGGTGCAGCTAACCCTGTGCTTGCTTTCCCTTCCATCAAGTGCATTCCATCATCATGTTAATCTCTTCATAGTCTTCTCCCTTCAGCTCATTTTTGCTGAGCAGCTTCCAGTCAACTGCTTGAGCAGTTTCCTGATACACTAAGCAGAGCCTGGCCTGTCCATACACACCTGATGCCTGAAGCAGATTCCTCTTCTGTAGCTGAAGCTACAATGAGAACTTTCTGTCTAGCTAATTTGAAGAAATGCATATGAAGGGATCACATCACTGTTTGAGGGAAACAAACTGCATCCTGTGCTTGAAGAGCATTTGAACCCATGGACATCGTGCTGCACAATGCAATCTCCTGACAGACAAACTTGTTGGTTACATATATATTTAATAATGTAATAAAAATATGTCTAGGGGGAAAGGAGATGGCTGGGAAATCATATCTTATGAGACACCCAATCTGCCTGTGGCCCCTGGGCTGTGCTCTGAGCCCGAGGACCGGGTTCAGTACAGCTGCAGAGGGTGGATATGGCTCACCCATCCACGAGAGATGGTGACTGCGGACGGTGAATCCCAGCCCTCTGTTTGCCCAGCCAGTGCTCAGTCCCTCACCAAGTGTCCGACGTTGAGACTCCAAGGCTTTGGCCGTTCCTGTTTTTCCTCCTGCCCTGCTGCCACTGCAGAGGAGAGCCCTCAATGGGAAGTCTGTGCTTGCTGCTCCGGCATCCTGTTCCCCTGCAGCTGGATAACAACCGGGAGTTGAGGAGGAATGAACCAGCAAGCAGGATTTACAAAAACAGAGCAACCCACCCTTTCAAGGTCAGACTCAGGTTGAGCTGCACAGGGTTTTCTCTAAGAGGCCACCGGAGCTCTTTTGTTCCTCTCTGCTCTCGCCATGTTCATCCCAATGTACATGTGAAAGGAACAATTAACAATAGGGCACTCCTCTCCGAGGATCCAATGCACTTTGAAGTGTCCACCAACCAAAGGCTGGAGAATGATACATCATTTTCCACTGTGAACATGTCAAACAAGCACAGCTATTGAAAAAATGTCTCCACATGCCTTCCCAGCATGCAGACAGGGACCAGCTGGAGAGCCACTTCATATCTGACATGTCACCCCCTGACAGCTGTCTTCCTGGGAATTTTTGTTAGGCAAAGTTTTGTATTTTCTTTTTTTTTCTCTCTCTCTCTTTTTTTTTTTTTTTTTTTTTTTTTTTTTTTTTTTTTTTTTTTTTGTTAAGTAAGACACAAGATTAATTCGTTTGCTTTAAGGCTACGTTCAGACCTCTCCTGAACATGCAACGTTTCCTTAAAGATTGAATAAAGGAGAGAAAAAAAAAACAAAAAAAAATACCTGGGAAGTTTTGTTTTTTTTTTTTTTCCTATGTGACTCACTGTAATTGAAGTCAACCCTTAGCCATTTCTATACCAACACCTCTCACTGCTTATTTCCACACTGAAGGCCCCTTTCAGCGAAGGTATTCCAGCATCAGTCTGACTTGAGGTGCATGAACAGACCCAGCAAACTCAATGCATGCCATTAATTGGATGGTGCTCACTAAGCAGTGAGTGTACTGAGCAGCTCTAATAACATGAATATGCAAATCACCAGTGTTATTTTAATGGCCTATAAAGCAAAGAGCAGCTTAGTGAACAGTGAGGCAGTACAGAAACTGTACAGAAGTCACTGTTTTGACAGTAGTTTAATCCACATTCCCATTCTTCCTATAAAAGAGCACTTTACAGCCCTGGGCTGAGCAATGGGTGGTGTCATTTCTTTTTGTAGGTGTACTATAGAGGACAATGCTGGGCCTTTTTCAGGAATATTGTGTACAATTCAAAAAAGACAAATCTGAAAGGAAGGAAAGGCAGAGAAGGGCAGCTGGAAGCTACTAAGGATGGAGACCCCATTACATGAGGAGACTAAAAGAAATGGGTTTGCTATAGCAAAGTCAAAGGACAGAGGCTGCTCAGTGTCATCTCACCAGAGATGGAAACTTCACCTAGATATGGTAAAATGCAGGAAGAGAAGTATAAAGTAACCCACAACTATATTTGATCCAGAAAATGGAAGGTGATTTCTAAAAGTCAGAGAACAACTCTCAAAAGTTGTTCTCCTCATTGACCCTTTGCTTTCAACCCAATCTGATCTCCCTGGGACTCCAGGTCCTTCCTGCGAGTCTGCACTGCCAGCAGCCCCCTTTGCTCTCACTCCTTTTCTCCTTGCTGGAGTCAACATCTCTCCTCCAAGGAGAAGAGCATAGAGGCATTCCCACAAGAGGACGTTTTGGCTCTTTTCCTCTTTTTATACATTTTTTTTTTTCTTGGCAACCTGCTTTGTCGTGAGTGACTCCCCCTCTTTGCTTTCAGTCCCCTCCCCAGTCTTCTGCACTTGGGGACAGACTTTGAGCAGGCCCCGAGCCCGGAGGCCGTGCAGGGTGAGGGAGAGGAGGGGGGGCCGT